CCCGCACCTCCCTCCGCAGCTGCCACCTCCGCCTCCGGCACCGAGCGGCCCGGCTGGGACTGCAGCCACGCCCCCCGCGCCGGCGTGCCCACGCACGGACGTGCGGCGAAGGCGCAGAGCCGCGGAATTTTGGGACTAGCCGCTCGCCGTAGTGTGACTAGCCGGGAGAGCGGCACCGGCAGATTCGCGTGTGGAAGATTAAGGGCAGGCGGGGGAGCTGTCGATTCTTTCTCGCAGATTCGCGCCCTGTTTGGGGTGGGAGGAGGAAGCGGAGTCGTTTTCAAGCCGGGGGGTGGCACAGGGGAGCTGGCAGTAGGGTTGTGTCAACCCTTCAGGATGGGCCTGGAGTCTGCAGGAATTAAGAAATGAACCCCTCGGAGACTAGCAGGAGGTAAACTACAGGACTTTTCTTAAAATGTTGAATCCGATTTGTGCAGTAGTCCAGTGGGGTTTTGAAAAGTAATAGTGATGTGCATGTGCTTTCCTGACACACCACAATCGGTAACTGATATCCGCGAGCCTGTGGGCACATCCACGTCATGTGTTGCAGGCACAGTGGCATTCCAGCAACCTCCTTGAATAGATGCAAACAGAGTTGGCAACCCTGCCTGGCAGGCATATGCCCATGTAGCCTGGCAGAAGCAGCTCTCGCTGTAGGCCCAAGCATCCCAAAAACATAGGTCAGCCCTAGGCCAGGCCTGGCTGGGCCGGCAGCCTCGCACGAACCCGTGGGCATTGGTACCCGCTGCCCCCTTGGCCCATGCGGGAGGCCATGAGCTGGTGCCTCATGCACATGTGATCCCAGCTCCACGCTGCCTTCGGTCTCACCCACCTACTGGGTGCGTGTGTGACCCAGGGTAGAGGCAGTGTGGTGCACCGCTAAGGCTACCCCAGTGTCCAGAGAGGCTCTGCTCTGGGTGCGATCCTGGTTACTCAGGCCTAGGAGCATTCTGGCATTTCAGAAGCTGCTGCCTTCAAGGGCCACGGCCAACCCATGCTGCCTCGAGCACTCATGCCCAGGCACGGGGCAGGGCCTAAGGAAACTTTTGCACCATTTGGGAATTGACTGTAGGGTAGGATGGGCCACCCACATCCTACCCTACAGCTATCATCTGCAGAGACGGCAGCCGCTTGCTCCTGTGGATCCCTGTGTTTTGGCAGGACTTCAGTTAAGGGCCTGTGGCCGCTTAGAGACAAATGGAGCTTAGCAAGTTAGGGCTGCTATGCAAACTGAAGGAAATGTTGTGAAATGTAGTCAGAGTATCAACATTGCACTGGTTTGAGCTGCATTATTTCTGTTCTGTTAAAATGGCCTGCTAGGAGCTGTTATCTCAGGGAACCACAGTTATTTGGGACCAGATGCACAGTTCCTCAGAAACATGCATTCACTCTGGACTAAATACAAACCTGCCTGGTGAGAGGGTGTGACTTCATAACATGTGAACTGTTAGGGCTAGATGGATCATTGCATGCTAAAAGCTGTCATCGCAGAGCAGTAAGGCCAGCTGATTTCAGATCTCTGTCAAAATCTTGCATGCAGGAAATGCTTGTCTCCAAAAGCTACAGCCAAACAGAGCCAGATGGAGCTTTGCAGACTGGCGACTGTCATTACCAGGGCCATAGTTACTCAGGTAATGCATCAGCACCTGTTGTCTGTGAGGACTGTGTTACTAAGCCCTGAACTGTCATTTTCAGAGCTTACAGTCAGTCAGGACCCAGTGGTGGGAGTTTTCATATTAAGGGGCCAAGATCACAGCTGTTTAGGGTCAGATGAAGTGTTGTATGACAGAAAGTGTTGTCTCCAGGGATTATGGCCTGTTGGGGTCCAATGAGCTATTACCAGTATCAAGATTGGAAGCTCTTGTTTCTAGGGGGTTGTCCTCCTCAGGCATGATGTCTCTTCTAGGATACAGAATCTCTGTAAGCCATAGAGCTCAGGTCATGGTGTGACACAGCACTGGGGTATAAGTTCTCTTTACTTGATTCCAAACATTGTGACTGTGTAAAGAGAGTCTGGCATGTCAGCTTTGCTCTGTTACATCCATGGGTTACTCAGACCAAGATGTACTAAAGGCTGATGCTTCTTGTTTTCATGCACTAGGTTCCAAACAAGGTGGGGGCTTGGTACATACTACGATGAAGGATGGACATGACAGACCTGTCATCTCCACAGGCTGTATTTTACTACCTGGTAGTCAAACTGAGTGTCAGACTAAAACCTGTAGTGTAATCTGTACAGAAAGGCTACTGTGAAGCAAACCTCTTATC